CTTTAGATGGAGAGCAGGGACATACACAAAATTTTTAGTAAGCGATATCAAAATTTAAAAGTGAATGAATGAATAAATCACTATATTGAAAAGTGCTGTCATTTTTTATATTTATACCCAATATTTTTATTTTGTATATTATCTTTATATATATATATATATATATATATATATATATATATATATATATATATATATATATATATATTCCGACGAAACGATGTGTAACAACTCCAAAATACAAATTATATTGATGGTAGTATCTAAAGATTATAACTCAACAAAGTAGAGCAACAGTAATGTAAATACAAAAGTGCAGAAGCTAAGTAAGATAGAATAGAACCAAAGAAGGGGATGAGAAGCTAGACTCGGAATTGGGGAGGAGAGGATTCAGACATTTCTCTCAAAAGTATTCGCCTAACCCCAAATCACGGATCATTGTCCCTTATATAGAACCATTCTTACGCCTATTATCAACCTGGATCCCAAATTAACCTGGCCCTACTGCTTGTACTCGGCCCAATAGTTCTTTTCAGCCCAATAGCTACTTGTATGAGATTGGGCTGGTGCCGGTTCATAACAATACTCCCGTCCTCAATAAGAACCTTGTCCTCAAGGTTCGAGTCAAGAATAGTGATGCTCGCGAGCTCACAACCAATTATCTCAAAACCAAGGCATGCTTTATGACTTGAGGAAAATATATGATATGAAACACCTGTTATGAGCCGATTAAAACTTTGGTAATTGTGGCTCTTAATAGATAGCACGAGATGTATTAACTGGAGTGCCATCATAACTTGCCATGTAAATTTACATGTCTTTGCTTGCCCTTTTGTAGAAGCAGTTAGCCGTTAGCTAAATAAGAGAACCAAGGCAAACATTCCAGTAGCAAACCTCCACGAAAGCATAAACTCGATGAAGTGAAAACTGACTTTTTGCAGCCCTTGAAACTCTTCCACCAAGTTCTTATAAACTTCCCAATCAGTCCAAGCATTTAACAATAATGAATTATAAAAAGAGGATAAACATGGATTACCAACCAATATAATGCATACATAAGCAAACATCCTCAGATAGCTTATCAAAATGGCAATAATATCTGCAATGCCCCTAGCTGTCCATTCCTCTTCAGCATCATTTCCTGATGAAAAGGAAAGAGCAACTGTGTTAGCTTGCACTAGTGGAAAGGAGTCTGCAGTAACATCCGTCACGATCGCAATAGAGTCATTTTCTTCTCTGCCAAGAGAAATATTCACACAATACGCCACAATGTAAGGAATAGCCTCGGTGCCGAAAACTCCATCAAGAGCACTGCTAGGATCAAAAGGAATTTGGAGATCTCTACAATACAGACAACACCCCTTAATATGTTCAGACCCGACGGTGCTAGAGTTATCCCCCTTGAAGTTCTAATAAACAGTATTAGAAGCTCACTCTCCACCAAATCTCTCGATTGTGCCTGCTACGGGATGCGTCTTCACGTGATGTTGGGTGGTGTCATAATATTTTATAGTGAAGTCTTTCACTAATCTAACCAGCAACACAATAGTGGAAACCACCGGTCCACTTGAAAGTTGTAAAACTTGATTCATGACACCATATGGAACCTTCAAATCGATGATTATGATAGTACATTCCACCTCCTTCCTTGTGTCATAATAGATTAGGATAGAAGAAACAAAAGCCAACTTGATAATAGTCCTAAAAGAGATGTTGCACATATGCATATGTCCAAGTTTCCTAAGAGTTCCATCATTAATAGCATAATTAGAATCTAGACCACCAATAGCAACTTCTATTAGAATGTTTTTGCCTACACTCTTTGCTGTTACTCCTTCATATGCATCGACAGTATAACTCCCCTGAATTGCCAAAAGTGTAATGCAGAAGGTCCCCGAAGTTGATCTCTTGAACCTATTAGGCTTTAAATTGCCCAAAGCATCACAAAATCCACAATTTCTTGTGACAATAAGAGATGTGGTAAGCAAGCTAGTTCCAGGGTCAAATGGAAAATCTATTCCAAATTGATCAAGGAAAAATTGATGTAATATAAGAAGTGCAGCATGACCAAGTGTGTTGTAGGAGTCAAATGTACTCATATTTATAAATTGGTCACACTTGCTAGCAGAAAGAGTACAAGGCAACTCCTCCAAGCGTTGAGCAAGCTCGAGTCCATGTTGAGGGTAGACCTTTTTCGAGCGTCCAACCAATAATTGATTTCGATAATCATCTAAAACTTTGTGAATATCAAACATGGCTAGGTCACAGGGAATAGAGAATGTAGAATTAATCCCAATTGAAGGCTTCTTTGTAATTGCAGCAACACACTGTGGAAGTTCATCTCTAAAGACAATCGTTTCATTAAACCATAAGACCAACGTGAAAGTTAAAGCATGATATAACTCGCTTAGCTCAAGAGCCCTTCCACTCAGAAAAGACCTCAACTGATCAATAAGGTATTGTTCCTCAATTTGAGTAGTAGCATCATCAACAGAACATACAAATGAATTTGCTATAGGCTCTCCCCGTAGCTTGTACATTGCACAGGACTTTATAACACCACCACTGTGTTCAATACTCAGTTCATCCTTCCTGAAGCAACCTTAAATTCCTGCCCCGTGTCGAACCACTTGTCCACATAACCACAAATTGGTAAGCCAATATCTCTTGCATTAGTGTTATGCCCTGAATATATATGACAGTCCTTTTGTCGTTTTGCGTTCAATAACAGTGAATCATGTTGTCCAATAGCAACCCAATTGCATTTGTGTATGTCAAAATCATAAGGAAACCACAATATCTTTTGAGTCTCCCCTACACTTGGATATTCTATTCCAGCAAATCTCCCAATAGCATTTGACATGGCAGATCCTTGACTACTAAAAGGAATCCGATAACCTATTTTATCCCCTAGAGGAGAATTTTCAAATTTCCGAGCTACATTGCTTTGTCCATTTCCTCTTCCTTATATTTAGTTACCAAGGGTGGAGTTACATGTTGATTGTAACCAATTGAAACCACTAAGGAAGTAATGGGAACAAGGTACAAAGAAATATCGGTACCATTGTCGAATGCTGCAGCAGTCACCTCGATTTGCAAGGTCTCACAGCTAGACTGGAGTAAGCTATCATTCTCACAAAAATTGTCATTGATCACATTGTCAATGGTCGTGGTTGAAATTTCTTCATCAGCGACACGAATCGCAGGACCAGGAATGCCTGAGCTAGCTGTTGTAATAGAAGAGTTGTCATCCACTGATTGTCCAGTTTCAAAAGTTGATACCGATTCAGATTTATTTATGTGAGAGCTTCCATCAAATACTTGGACCTCCTCTGATTTTGCAAAGTTTAAAGTTGATGTTGTTGTATCAGTAAGGACTTTAACATCTGATTGTTCAGTGTCAAATACCTTGGAACAACAACCATGTGACATTTTGTCGAACACCTGGGCTTCGATCTCTGTGGAATATTCCTTGATTGCAGCCAAATGACCTTTCAGCGGCTCGAGACACCGTTTACGAAAGCGAATCAACACTTTCTCAGTAAAATGTTCCCAATCCGCCAATTGTTTGTTTCGAAAAAGCCATTGGTACCACTTCAAAGCTTCTCCATCGAGATAGGACGAGGCGAGAGTTAACTTGTTATTTTCTGAGATTCCATAAAAGCTTAAAGTATCGTTCAGCCTGAGAAATCCATAATTCTGGATTATCGCCACATAATCGTCGGAATTCCAGCCGAGTAGGCTTACTTGTTTCAGCGTTTCCCACCAACTCATGTAGCAGTGAACGAATTTCAGCCACCATGACCTTAATTGGATCGTTAGTTCGACATATTTGGTCCTCCATTGAAGACCTCTGGATGAAAGCACCAATGTAACAACTCCAAAATACAAATTATATTGATGGTAGTATCTAAAGATTATAACTCAACAAAGTAGAGCAACAGTAATGAAAATACAAAAGTGCATAAGCTAAGTAAGATAGAATAGAACCAAAGAAGGGGATGAGAAGCTAGACTCGGAATTGGGGAGGAGAGGATTCAGATATTTCTCTCAACAGTATTCGCCTAACCCCTAATCACGGACCATTGTCTCTTATATAGAACCATTCTTACGCCTATTATCAACCTGGATCCCAAATTAACTTGGCCCTACTGCTTGTACTCGGCCCAATAGTTCTTTTCAGCCCAATAGCTACTTGTATGAGATTGGGCTGGTGCCGGTTCATAACACGATGTCACGTGACAACGCTTGCCACAAAGTGTATCCGTCCCCGAGGGAGAGAAACAAGAAAATGCTGCATTCTTGTACAAGTATTACCACGTCAAAAGCTGATGCTTTACAAGAATCAAATTGAAAAAATAATGAGAATGTTTAATTAACAAATAAAACATTATTGGAAATAGCGAAAGGGAGAAGGGAAATATGACTTTTTTTTCACTCTTAGATTGTATTGAATTCATTTTCGATTTTAAAGGGAATAATTTCCTTACAAAAGTAGAAAAAAATTCTTACCTGCTTGAGGCCAATTATTTTATATTTAAAAGGTAAATCACTCTCTACTAAAATTAATTTTTCAAGGCTCAAAATCTTTGATTAAGAAAAAAAAAAATGAATACTTACCGCCCACAGCTACTTACTACTAGTGATGAGCACTTGTACAAAAGAAAAAGAGACGAGATGGTGCACTTTTGTGAAGTAATTTATTACTCTCCTAGTTTCAATTTATGTGAATCCAAAATAGAGAATACTTTTAAATTTGTGGTGTAAAATGAGGTATATATATTTTGTATGATTATAAATTATTGCATAAAGATAAATTATTTTCAAATAGGAAAAGAAGTCATTCGTTTTTACACGAACTAAAATGAAAATAGGTTCGAATAAATTGAAACGGATGGAGTAATAAACCATGCTTTTTCACCCCTATGCATTTGTTACAAAAGATGACATTTTTAATTTCCATTTTGTTTATTCCAATGTGGTGGACAATTTAGGAAAACAAGAAGAGGCCGAAAAACACATTCACAGATTGTGGAGCAACAAGCATAGGAGGGAAGTTTCCATGAAACCAGTTTTGACCATTGCTCTCTCACTCCTCTCTTGTTTATATTGATTTTCTTCAAACGTTAAATTCCTATTCACATACTCTTCTTGATCCACAAACACCCCCTTTTTCATTTCTTAAAATCACCCCTTTCAAGAACCTCAGGGTTTATTACCCCCTTTTACCTTAAAGTTTGAAAACCAAATTGGGTTTTTGGAGATCTGAGATTTTGAATTTTTTGAGATTCGAAGGAACTTATCAAAGTTGGATCTTGATTGCTGTTTGACTAGTGCCTAGTGGCAATCTTGAGACCCTTTTGGGTGGAGATCAGCACAGTAAAAATTGGTGCTTTATCTGTGAAAGTTGAGATTTGTATGCTGATTTGGTGGGGAAAGGTAAAATTTTGAGACCCATTTAGTTGAAGATAAGTTTGAAGCTTTACCTTTGAGAATTGAAGCTTTTTGTTGTATTAGTTTGGTGAAAAAGTTATCATCTTGAGACCTTTTTGACTGGAAATTTTGAAGATCTTGGCTTTTGAAGAAGTTGTTGTATTAGTTTGGTGGGAAAGTTAGGATCTTGAGACCCCTTTGGCTGAAATTTTTAAAGAAGAAGTTGGGTTTTGAAGATCCGTCTCATGGGTAATTGTTGTGCAGCACCAAAAACTTCAGATACAGAGAGGAAGAAAAGGGGAAAAAATAAGCCAAATCCATTTTCTGTTGATTATGCCCATGGGAATGGTGGATACAAGTCCTATGTGTTAGACAATCCAACTGGAGCTGATATTGAGGCAACATATGAATTAGGTCGTGAGCTTGGCAGAGGTGAATTTGGGGTTACATATTTGTGTACTGACAAAGCAAATGGAGAAGTGTATGCTTGTAAATCAATATCCAAGAAGAAACTCAGGACTCGAGTGGATATCGAGGATGTAAGGAGAGAAGTTGAGATCATGAAGCATTTGCCTAAGCATCCTAATATTGTTACTTTAAAGGATACTTATGAGGATAATGATGCAGTCCATATAGTTATGGAGTTGTGTGAGGGTGGTGAACTGTTTGATCGGATCGTTGCAAGGGGGCATTATACTGAGAGGGCAGCAGCTGCTGTGACTCGCACAATTGTTGAAGTGATTCAGGTAAATATTTGATTTTTCTTTGTTTTTAAGATAACCTGTGTTTTATTTAGTCTTCATAGTGTTGTTTAGATTGAACTTTCTATTAGCAATGTAGAATGTGAGAATTGTCTCAACAGTTTAATGATTTGCCATGCTTGCGTAATATGATTTTAGGGTGCTAGTGATATTAGAATGTGTTTAATCGTGTCGAGGAATGAGAAAACTAGTGTCATGCTAAGTAGATCAGCTTTCTATAAAGAGAACTATCATGCTAAGTAGATCAGCTTTCTATAAAGAGAACTATCTCTTGGCAATTAGGATTTGTAAAATTAAAAAAGGAGTGAGATAGCTTGAGCCTTTCCTCATTTTCTCATAAATTACCATTTCCGAGTCAGTTCATGGTGTAAGTTGTCCCACTGGGAAAATGACTTTTTGGTGGAGTAATTGGCATATGGTTTCTTTGCACCATTTGTCCCATAGATCTTGTATCTATTCAGTAAACAAAGATCAACTATCCGGCAACGTGTAGAATGAATTAGATTAACTGCTTGACAAGATGCAGATTTACCATTTCTTTTTGACATTCTTCTCATCATTTCTGGTTAGTTATTCAATATTGAATAACTTTTTTTTTTGGGTTACAGATGTGCCATAAGCATGGGGTCATGCATCGTGACCTCAAACCTGAAAACTTCTTGTTTGAAAACAAGAAAGAGACAGCACCATTGAAGGCAATTGACTTTGGTCTCTCAGTATTCTTTAAGCCTGGTAAGTTTCCTAATATTTATATCTTGCTGCATTTGAATAATTGAACATTATGCTCATTGTTAGCTGTCGTGTTGGTTTTACAGGTGAGAGATTTAATGAAATTGTGGGAAGTCCATATTACATGGCTCCCGAGGTGCTGAAGAGAGACTATGGTCCAGAAGTAGATGTATGGAGTGCTGGAGTAATTCTCTACATCTTGCTTTGCGGTGTTCCGCCTTTCTGGGCAGGTTAGTGTCCTTACTCTTGAACAGTAAATCATTGGTGATTCACATTACGAAATAGTTTGCATGTTGCTGTTCTACTGCTGGACAAATCCGACAAATTCTCCACCCAAAGGGCAGCCTGCATCCCACCCCACTCTCCATATTTCAGTATTAGGATCATTAACTCTCTTTTTTTCTGGGGTGGAAGACACTAAAGGGGACTTACTACTCCTTGACAATTCTATGGGAAAATTTTGAAACAGAATGCCTGAAGCTTGTTACATCTTAGAAAGAAGAGTGCAATTTTACTGTCAATTCTAGAGCACAAGGGTACTTCTTCACCAGACTATTTGGTGATGCAAACTCTTTATTCCATATTCTCTTGTTGCTTATTTGTCGAGGGAAAGTAATTCTTCCACATCTGTCTTGTCTCTGACGAGCTGAAGAATTCTTAAAATGAGATTCTTAGAGTAAAAGGGGACAACTTTTAGTGATGTAGATTATATGGAATATTATTTTTTGTGTATTGCAGTTCTTTTTCTTATTGAATTTTTGGGACAGGACGCATGATATTTACCCTTTGAAAATGACTTGCTGAAATGTATCTTGACTTTCCATCAGTACCGATTCTTGCCCTATAAATTGATACTTTAAACTTCCAAAATAGCTTGTTCTTATCTTATATAGTAAGTATTCATAAATAAACATTGTTGGTCAATAAATTTCTCATTGGAGTTTCTTTTGCTATATTAATTGTGTGATCCGAATATCTGTTTACAAGCAAACTGTGATTGACTAATAAAATTATACTAGCTCCTTTAGTTTATACTCAACGATAACTGTTGAAAGGAAGAAGGTTATTTAAAGTGATGCGGTTATAGTATTTTATCCTAACAACTCTTAACCTACACCGTTTCTTTTTGTATCATTGCAGAAACTGAACAAGGTGTTGCTCAAGCGATCATTCGTTCTGTTGTGAATTTCAAAAGGGATCCTTGGCCTAAGGTCTCTGACAATGCAAAAGACCTTGTGAAGAAGATGCTTACCCCTGACCCTAGCAAGAGACTTACTGCTCAAGAAGTTCTAGGTAAACCACTGGCTAAAATAATTCAAGTGATTTACTTCTTATGCCAAGTGAAAATTCATCACTCCTCGTAGTGTAACTTTTTTTGGTCTCTGACTGCTTACAGATCATCCGTGGATACAAAATGCAAAGAAGGCTCCAAATGTTTCTTTGGGTGAAACAGTGAAAGCAAGGCTCAAGCAATTTTCTATGATGAACAAGCTAAAGAAAAGAGCTTTAAGGGTGCGATTCCAACTCTTTGTAAAAGGAGCAAGAGATTGATGTTTCTTCTTTTCTTTCTTTCTTTCGTTCTTTCTTTACTGTGAATGTTTTTCTCATAGCAGCTGCTAATATTCTTCAATAAATTGCCTTTCTACCTCACAGGTGATTGCTGAGCATTTGACAGTGGACGAAGTGGCTGGAATAAAGGAGGGATTCCAATTGATGGATATAGGTAACAAAGGGAAGATTGATGTTAACGAGTTGAGAGTTGGGTTGCAGAAACTTGGCCATCAAATTCCTGAAAGTGATGTACATATTCTTATGGATGTTGTAAGTGCTAAAATTCTATTTGACTTGTGTACCTCTTTTATTACCTTGTTGAATCCTTGAACCATCTGAAACACTAAAATAGACAAAATAAATCAATATTCTACTGCTGCTGCATCCAATCAAAGCACGTAATATTGTGTTACATGGGAGAAACACTGGAAACTAAACAGTGATATTTCACAGGGTGACGTTGATAAAGATGGATATTTGGACTATGGGGAATTTGTTGCTATTTCAGTCCACCTAAGAAAGATGGCAAATGATGAGCACCTGAAAAAGGCGTTTGAATTTTTTGATAAGAACCAAACTGGCTATATAGAGATTGAGGAGTTGAGGGAGGCCTTAGCTGACGAGATTGAAACCAACAGCGAAGAAGTTATCAATGCTATTATGCACGATGTGGACACAGACAAGGTCAGTAATATATTCATGTCATAAAACTCATCTGGCCTCTTTCCTTGTATGTTTTGTTTACTTGTGGATGATGCCGTGTTGATTCTATGGACCTGGGATTGGGAAAAAGAAAATGGTCATTCATGATGTTTCATGTGCTTACATTTCATTCTCATGCAGGACGGACGGATAAGTTACGATGAATTCTCTACAATGATGAAGACTGGCACAGATTGGAGGAAGGCGTCAAGACAGTATTCACGAGAACGATACAATAGTCTCAGCTTGAAATTAATGAAGGATGGTTCCTTACAAATGAACAATGAGACTAGATAACTTAAGGCAGAGTATGACATCTCGAAGAACAGAACTCGCCTTTTGGCTTTCTAAATTTTTATATTCTTTCCTGTTCGACGATCATTTTGCCATTTTTTGTTGTATGTGTGATTTCTCCTCTGGGGGTGGATAAGTATCAGGTCCCCAACATTCATGTGTTCTTTAAGTTGTGATTATGTTGTTCTATATATATATATTTTTTTAATCGACAATTTGAAGAAATATGGTGAAGGATAGAAAGGTGGTTATTTTGTTATTGTATCTAATTAAGGATCAACATTTTCAACTCGTTCCTTTTTCTTTTTTTGTCATGGAGTTGGATATGACAGCCAGTATGTTTGAGGTGATATTAATCCCACAGAGCACAAGTGACCATGAATGAGGTGTTACATTTCCATACATTACTAGAAAATAAAAAGTAATAATTCTTCATCAAATCTTGTTTACTACATTATACATTAATCAAAACTACCTATAATTTTTAAAAACCAAGAAGCTGAGTATATAGAGTGAACTAAAAACAGAAACTAGTGTCAGTTGCTTCTCTTGGTCTCTTGCTTATGTGCATCAGCTTGTCTCCTGCCTACTGAGTTGGCATCCAATCTAAGTCTGCTGCAATAACATCATCATCATCAGAACCCAATAATTCCTCCATTGTGAAGCACTCGTCGCTGCTTATAACTAAGGATGGCTCTGCTTTATAATCTGATGATGTTAACATACCAGTAAAAGTAATAGGTGCCCTCTCTTCAATGTTGTGCACTTGCTCTTTTGACCACTGATCAGACACAAATCCAGCATTAATGTTTTCTTCATTAACCATGGCACTACTACTTCCTTGAGCCATTGGACACATGATGTTCTGCTCATCAATATTGCAGATAGGCAAATGGGGTTCTGCAGTATTTGATTTTTCTGCTAGTAAACTACCCATGTACTCGTACACTTTCATATCCACATGATCAATATTTATGTCAGCCAATGTTGATGGAACATTACTATGGTCTTGTTGCAACTGAAAGCCATTATTATCAGGTGAGTAGTATGTGAATTGATTTGAAGTTGTCCATGAACTTCCAACATATTCAACATGACTTTGAACTGAATAAGGTGCCATCTCTTCAATATTCTGCGCTTGTACATCCACTAATTGCAACTGATCAAACGCGTTATTATGTTCGGATGATGCGAATTGATTGGAAGGACACAAATCATGAAAACCTGTCCCTTGATCCTCTGAAGAACTTGTAATATAGTCAAGCTCATGCTCTTGAGTTGTCGAATTCATAACAGCAACAACGTTGTTTCCACTGGCCGCTATTTCCATATGATCTCCTAATTCCTTATGATCATTAGCATATACAGATTTACGCTTAATGCAGCACAAAACATAGTCCTCATGCTGAATTATATTTCGTTGTCTTAACACCTTTAGTATGTTGTCATTAAGACTATACTCTTTCATGTTCCAAACAATATTTTTAATTCCTTGATCGACACTTTTCTCTTTTTCAAGATATCGAAAACTTTTCTTGAACCCAATCAACTTTGACCCTTTAAAAACTGATTTGTGTTTGTCAAGTCCTTTCCAACAGCCTCCTCCGATCAGCCGTCGACTGAACCTTGAACCACCCGCTTTTGTTCTCTTCAACTTAGTAAAGAAATAGTTTACCTTTGTATCTTCTCCCAGAAAATTGTTTTCGAATATATCCCATGGCTTCTTATTCCCGTAAAGATTCTCAACTCGAATATGATCACACGAGAAATTCTTGCACGAAACGAATTTAAGTAGAAAGAGCGTAAGCTCTTCATCAGTGGGTCGAAATCTGATTCCAAGTACTGGATTTGGACCATAATTATGGCTGCTGATAGTCATGTTTTTTGTTTTCAGTGGAAGAAATTAGCCTGAAAACAAAAAGGAAATACTTTCAAGAATGGTGATGAACAAAGGGACTGCTGAGGGTTTAATGTAATGTAATAAAGCTGTTGCCTATTGGTACAACTTATATAGGTAGGGTTGAGCTCTAGGCGCGGGAAGCAACAGAAAGCCGACGTTAGGAAGAATTAGGAAATTTTCAATTCCACAGTGCTAGACATTTGTAATAAACACCCCTGTAATATTTCTTATTTGTAAATGTAATGTTCCTTATATTTCAAAATTATATATTAAAATCACTTATATAATGAAAACGCAAATACTGAAAAACATTTAAGTTTATTTCTCTTTTATAAGCTTTATAGAATTTAATATGTATGAATTTTTAATTTATTTCGTTTTGAATGCGTGACTTCAGTTTATTCAACGGAAAAGGGCCTAAAATGCCCTTTTACTATATGAAATAGGACATGCTAGCCCTCCGTTAAAAGTTGGTCTCTATTCTGCCCTTGCCGTCAACAAATGGGCTCGTATATGCCCTCCATCACTAACGGGAGACTCATAAAGCCACATGGAATATATGTGAGGGCAAATTAGACCTAGTTCGAATTGTACAGGGGCATATATGAGTCAGTTATAATAGTCATTTCTCAAACACTTCACAACTCCATATCAGTTTACTTAGAAACCTATTTGACAACACCAAACTAATTATCACAGCAAATAAACTAAGTCATAGACACAAATATTCAAATAAACGACAATGACTTCATTAAGTCCTTGTACAAAAACATAAAGCTTCATTACATAATAAAAGACAACAGTTAATAAGCCACAATAACACTAATATTACATATCATTTCCCACTGATCCAAAGAACATAACAAGACATCCCAATATCACACACATGAAAATCTATATCTTCTTCGGAACTTTAGCATCAAGCACAACTGAGTACTCTAAATCGGTCACTTTCTTCATTAGGACATTTCTTTCCAATTCCAAGGCTTCTTTTCCTCCATGATCGATGAGCATCATAACATTGTCAAGATCAAATTTTCTTTTTCCTTCTTTAAACTGCACATGAGATTCGAAACTCTAGGAGGAAGCTCTTCATCTTGCCATTCCCAATACGAATATTTGTCATCCTAAAAATCAAAAATAAATAAAACAAATTTACAAGCAACTCGGAATAATTAAAAGAACCTATCAAAAAAATTTCTTACCTCATGCTTCAGGCACTTGAAAAACCTTCTCCCAACATTTAAAGGTGTCCATGCCATGAAATAATTAGCAGTAAGTCCGTAATGACACCTCCTATTCGACCCATTTGAGCTGCTAGAACATTCCGACATTATCTTTTGTTGTCTTTTGTTATGTTTCGACCTCTTTGAGCTACTAGGATTTAATGAAGTCATTGCCGTTCATTTGAATGTTTGTGTCTATGACTTAGTTTATTTGCTGTGATAATTAGTTTGGTGTTGTCAAATAGGTGTCTAAGTAAACTGATATGGAGTTGTGAAGTGTTTCAGAAATGACTATTATTATTGACTCATATATGCCCCTGTACAATTCGAACTAGGTCTAACTTGCCCTCACATATATTCCACGTGGCTTTATGAGTCTCCCGTTAGTGATGGAGGGCATATACGAGCCCATTTGTTAACGGCAAGGGCAAAATAAAGACCAACTTTTAACGGAGGGATAGCCTGTCCTATTTCATATACTAACGGGGCATTTTAGGCCGTTCTCCGTTTATTAAATTTACTTGATTACACATACACCCCTTATATTTCAAAATTAAATACTTAAGCCCCCTCCCCAAATGAAATAGTTAATGTTTGTGTATGTGATTTTGTTGTACAAGCTAGGGTTAAGTGGCCGATTTTGAAATATATTCCCGTAGTTGGTTATGTTATAGGGGTATTCAATGTGATACTCTAATTATTTTAACTGTGAATTGTTTTATTTGATTTGTAAACAACAGACAATTAAAATAAAAACCATCTTTAAATTGCGTATGAGCCTCCGAAGTCAGACCTGTGTAACAAAGATTTCCTTCTTTACGAATGCGAGGATCTCTTCGCGAACACGTAGAACAAAGTCCCTGAAGCCAAATCCTTCTTCGCGAACGCGAAGAACAACATCGGACACCAGCATTAGCAATTGCAAAACAACATGAAATGATCTGAAACCACCCCGAAACACACATGAGGCCCCCGGGGCCCCGTCCAATCACACAAACCAGTCCCATAACATAATACGAACCTGCTCGAGGTCTCAAATCACATCAAACAACATCGAAATCATGAATCACACCCCAATTCAAGCTTAATGAACTTTAGAACTTCAAACTTCTACATTCGATGTCGAAACCTATCAAATCACGTCCGATTGACCTCAAATTTTGCACACAAGTCACATTCGACATTACGGACCTATTCCAACTTCCGGAGTTGGAATCCGACCCCGATATCAAAAAGTCCACTTTCGGTCAAACTTCTTAAAAACCTTCAAATTTCTAACTTTCGCCAAATGACCCCAAAACGACCTACGGATCTCCGAATCCACTTCTGGACGTGCTCCCAATACCAGAATTACCATACAGAGCTATTCGCAGACTCAAAATCCCAAACGGACATCGATAAAATTGAAATGCACAGCAACCCAAATTTATGAAATTCTTCCAAAATGCCAACTTCCACAATAGGCACCGAAATGCTCACGGGTCATCCAAAACCCGATCCGGACATATGTCCAAGTCCAAAATTATCATACGAACCGTTGGAACCTTCAAATACCGATTCCGAGGTCGTTTACTAAAAAATCAAACCTTAGTCAATTCTTTCAACTTAAAGCTTCCGAAATGAGAATTTTCTTTCCAAATCAACTCCGAACTTCCCGAAATTCAATTCCGACCATGCATGCAGGTCATAATGCCTGAAATGAAGCTCTCATGGCCTCAAACTGCCAAACGATGCGCTAGAGCTCAAAACGACCGATCGGGTTGTCACACCGTCCAATTGCACAAACAAGTCCATAAATTTAATACGGACCTGCTCGAACTCTCGAAACGCATCGAACAACAACAAAACTAAGAATCGAACCCCAAAACCAAATTGAATCATGTTATGAGCTTCAAGTTTCCAAATCGCTACTAACGCGCCGAATCATACTTAGACTACTCGATGATACCAAATTTTACGTGCAAGTCTTAAATCACCATAACAAACTATTCCCAGGCTCGTAATACCAAACGAACCTCGATAACACCAAAACCTACTCCAAACCAAATTTAAAGAACTTTAAAATCTTCCATGAGCCAACTTTCACTATTAGGCGTTGAAACGCTTCCGGGTCATCCGGAATCCAATCCGAACATACGCCCAAGTTCGAAATCATCATATGAACCTATTGGAACAGTCAAATCCCAATTCCGAGGTCGTTTACTCAAAACGTTGACCAAAGTCAAACTTAGACTTTTAAAGCCAAAATAAGGAACCAAGTGTTTCGATTTCAACCCGAACCCTTCCAAATACCAAACTGACCATCCCCGCAAGTCATACAACAGTAAAAGAATATACAGGGAGTCTGATTTAGGGTAACGAGATTCTAGAAAGTAAAACAATCTGTCGGGTCGTTACAAGGATGAACAAAAGAAAAGTGGTTTTGTGACAAAGAAGCAATTTTTGAAGCCTTAATGTCATGATTTGATTGCTACTTCGATTGACTTGGTGTTTGAGCACTTGAAATGAAATGATATTTTTAAGAAGTTATTGGTGATTCATATGCCTCGGACTAATTATTGGTACCACTTAAAGTCACGTGTTTGTGCTTAAAGTAGACTTATTGACTTGTTATGATGTTGATGCTCTATTGAGTTTATTACTTAGAAGGATATTTTGTGCTTTAATTGCTTGAGGACAAGCAATAGTTTAAGTTTTGGGGTTCGGTATTTTACCAACTTATCTCGTCTTTAATCTTAGATTTTTGCTATGTTTGATTGATAAAATAGTGTGTTTATTATCGTTTACTTCCACTTTACAGGTTTTATGCGATTTATAAATAATTGGGAAGAAACAAAATGAAACGAGTCAAAAAGGAGCTAAAATAAAAATAAAAACAGTGATTTACCCTTCGAGATTGCGAAGGAGGACCGCGAACGCGATAGTCAGCTGATCAACGAACCTTCGCGAGCGCGAAGGATGAATAGCGAATGCGATGATCAGAAAATCTCTTTTTCGCGAACGCGAGGCCTTGACCGCGAACACGAAGGAAAACTAGGCAGAAAAACTGCGCAAATTTGAAAATTCACATTTTTTTCCAAACCATTTAATACTCGACTCAGTTCATTTGGAAGAGATCTTTGGCATTCTTTGACTAGAGAATACAAGTCTTGGAGCTAGGGTTCTTGCACACACTTGGGACTTGAAGATTTGAAGCTTTTAGTTGAGATTTTCTTACCCATTTTACTCTTTTTTTCGTTTTCTTGCTTTGTATTTAATATCTAAGTGTGTAATATTTATTTCAACACTTGAATGTTGTTTATGGGAATATTCATTAATATTAAAGTGTGGATTAAATCGCTTGTTGTGCTTTTGTATTGAATGATTTTCAGTAAATATTTTATGAGTTATTGTTTCTTTAATTATTCTTGTTCTTTAATGTTTCCAAAGGGATTAGCTAAACCTAGGACTCGCCCATTAACTTCGAATTAATCTTGGAAAAGATAATTTGTGGTTGGGAAAGATTAATTAACAAGAACTTGAGGCATTAACCCTCATTTTATAGATTCTACCTAGGGATAGGATTGAACTACTTGTAGCCACATTTAGTGCACTTAATCTCTTAATTGTTTTAGGGATAATTCAATTAGGAAGTCTTGTTAGTCTTCGAAAGAAGCTAATAAAGTATTAATATCCGAGGCTAATTAATTTAAACTCGCTCATATTTGTAAAATCGTTAAATACATTGGATCGTTACTTGAGTGAAATTCCCCGTGTATCCATTCTTGTTGCCATTGTTCATTTTACTTGCTTTCTAGGTTAGTTAATATTTTTGCATTTAGACATAATATTTTTTCAAAACCCTTTTAAATGTTTGCCTTACCATAATAAGCGATAGTTCTCTTACATTGTCTAATCGCCTACATGTTGTTCTGTGGGATTCGAACCCGTCTGATAGTTGGGTATATTATATTGCATATGACCGTGTCCGCTTACTTTTTAGTAGTGGATTTGAATGTCATAAAAAATTCACACATAATTTAGTTACTTAAACGGGACAAATTATTATTATTTTTGTTTAATAATTTTGATGTTATAGTGAATAAAATTTAGCGGCGGTGTGTCATATTAACCTAATTTTTGGTGACTGTAGTTTAGGAATGTCAAAAAAAGGGATAGCTCGTTTACAGTGTCACAAACAGAACTATCTACTTGATAATGTAGTTTTTAACACAGGTTATGTACAGATAATAAAGCTTGAAGCAGCTTCCAAATGGAGCATATGCACACACAAGACATGCTTCTTTAGCACATTTACATAATCAAGTAAAATTTAACAATTCACTTGACATATCAAATAGTAATTAATAAAGATTAAGCTTTTGATTTGGATATACATAATGTATATACTTAAGCAGTTGGATAAGAGGCATCCATGGCAATCCCACATAGCCCTTCTTTAGCATCAATGTCACGTTCCATCCTTATATATCCATTTTCACCCCAACTACTACCCCAAGAGTTCTTAATCAACCAATATTTAGTACATCTTCAGCTTTTCCATATCCAACTGCTGTAACACCATGATCTAACTCCGTCCCACACGTGCCTGTAAAAACTCCACTCGTGTAGAATTGGAAGGAAAAGTCACTGGCATCAATTGACACTGAAATTGGCTGATTTGCCACAGCATTGAGGAGTGCTTTCTCATTGTATTTGGGTACTTTTTCGTAGCCTTTGATATCTGCTACATGGGCAGATTCCTTTTTTGTGTTGCATTTTCTGTCAGCAGCTTTGTATGGATAAATTGTTTCAGTTGTTATGCCTTTGTTTTTCACTATGAATTCGAACGCATCTTCCATGTAACCGCCTTCACATCCTTGATCTTCACTCTTTCTGTCACAGTCCACCAATTCTTGTTCTGATAAAGAGATCAACTTTCCTGTTGAGAGTTTAGTAATCCCCTCTGTTGCCGCTATTGCAGAAAATGGCCAACAGCTCCCTGTTTGTTTGTAATAGAAAAAATGTTAGAGGACCACAAATTAACGATAATGTGAACTGATAGTGTCGCGTCACCAAAAAGATAATTACATGTACTTCTCAATAATAAGTGAAACTAGTAATCTGAAAAATAAAGGTAAGCAACTTGATACAACATATTAGATTATATTGTCAGTGTATATAAATTAAATCCTTCATCATTATAAAAATTTAAGGCTAGACCACTTACCACATTGTCCTTGATCCTTAATTGGTGTGACTGCACCCTTTGTTCTCCAATCCATAGTTGTTGGAACTGCTGTCACATTTTCATATCTGAATGAGGTAATTTTTGGTTCACAAAATGGAATCTTCAAACCATTTCGAGCTGCTCTAAATTCCTCATTAGTTAAATCTGCAAATGAATTGATTCCCAACTTATAAGGCTGGTTTGCTGCATCATTAAAAGCTTCAATTCGCTCTGCATTTTCCTTGAATATCTTGAAACGACTATCTTTTTCAGCATTGTTTTTGTATACACGTCCATATTGAATCATCCATTGCTCATATTTTAGCATCAGGGGTTCATCAGCAAGTGCTCTTGCTGTAGTTTTAGAAGCCCATATTCCCAAGAATTGCCAAAAGAAGAACTAGGAACTTCATATTAAAGAAATTCTTTATAAAGAAGATAATTGTAAGCTGTAGGTAATGGTGTATATATTCCTTTGGAGATATTGGTATATATAGATTCTTGAATTTGCATTTGCCGCTAGTTGAATGATCTTACAGTAGATGTATTGGTATGAAAATAGCAGTAGTTTTTCTCAGTTTGCCGTGCCAAATATTGTGATTTGGACTAGCTAGTTCTTTGCCGTGGATGCTGGTTTGTTTAGTAATTTTACTCCAAGAGTAAAAGATTCATAATTTGTTCTGCTTAATCGCTAATCGATTCTTGTTTTATGTGCTTATCTCTCGGGTAGAGGAAGATCTAACAGTCAACAATTTCAGCTTGGACTTCGTTTCTCTTGAGCAATGTCCAATATATATTACTATTATTTTTAGAAAAAAGCCAAAACATAAGCAATTACTCATATTAGCCCAGCAGATGATGTTTGTATCCATGGGAAACAGAAACAAACTGAAGAAACATTAAACTATGACATTTTTTATGTTAATGACTAGAAAAATGGCAAATGTAGCAGCAGAAGAAAGACATGAGGTGATGAGATGAATCTGAGTCAAGACTTGACAATATAATTTTGGCGTCTGATGGGGTTCATAACCACGGGAGGACCAGCAGTACGAGGCCACGCCTGGAATTTTTTGTCCGTCTCTTTCCACCATTCATCGGTAGCAACTGTCTTTGGAGTGGTACCTGTTTTCAATTAAATGACACAAAATAACTATAGTGTATGTCTCAATCCTAAGCGAGGTATGAATTTCCATTGTCCATGTTGATCCATTTAAGTCAGTCTTGGATCATGATGCTCTAGCTCTAGAAATTCTTCACATTTAATTAAAGGGCTAAACAGATAGAGGGAATAGAAACTTGCCTCCAAACAACTTATGGTCAGAAGTAGCAGTGTCACAAACGTATGCAAATGCAAAGGATGCAACCACAGAACCAGCAATGTACTTCAGTGCCATTATATTGTCAAACTCCAACAACTGCAAATGGAAACAGGGAAAGAAATATATAGAGAGACACCAATCTATGTTAAATATCTGTAAATGGCTCCAAATAGAAATCTCTTTTTCAAATATGGAAAAAAGAAAATTGGCAAATTCAACAAGGAAAAATAAAGTTTCTTTTCAATCAACCAACTGCACTCAATCTCTAGGTACAGTGGCGGAGCCACATGCATTGATCCCCTTCACCGAAAAAGTCACACAGCGTAAATAAGGTAAAATTATTTTTGTTATACATATATACAATTTGAATACCCTTAACATTTTTGGATTTTTTGAAAATCCCCTAATCAGAATCCTTTCTTGGGGATTGGGTACAATAGCATAGCTCCTTTGTATATCTATTTTGCACTATTTATTTACGACCAAATATTAACTTTCTTTCTATTTTAAGCAGCTTTAGCAAATTAAACACAGTACTATTGTACTAATAAGATCTACAACACATCATGAAGAAACTAGTACAAACTAACCATAGGCCCATAACTAACGTTGTGGAAAGCAGTGACTGATGGAGTTTTTGCACAATGAGCTCAACAGAATTCAATATTTTTTGGTATAATAGATACGTACGTGAAAAACTACTAAAATTTTGACAATTATGAAGTATTTTTCAATGCGAAGAATCTTAAAGATTAAATTTAAATCACCCTTGCTGAAAAGAGGCAAATAACTTGCATGCCAACTACTCATATGTGACACACGCCTGCGCGCGCGCACAGTAAATCATCCTGTTCTACCGTTTCCATGAATGTATAGTAGTAACAAACATATAACAGAAGAAGGAGGGGGTAAGGGGCAACTTACTTCGATGAAGTGATCAATCAGAATAAAGGAAAAGTCCCAACAATAATGATCTTTTCTTCGTTGAATATGGAGAAACTTTTGAGAAGCAGTTGCACGGTGGAAACGTTCAACGTCGTTAAGCTTTTTTCTGCGCTATTTTCGCCATATGGCGAAAGATATGGACTTGAAATTCAGTTTGGGCCTAGAATTCAAAGGATTTAGAGCCCATTTTAAAGATTTAATGACCAAAATGTTTTCCTTTATGAAAACGGACAAAACATGCTCCTTTTCAAGATTTTAACACCATGCTGCCCCTTCCTTTCTCTGTCTAGTGTCCTAGGCTTCAGCTAGGGGTGCCAAAACTAAACAAAACTCATTTGACCCAAACTGCCCAAGTTTTAATGGGTTTGGATTAGAACGATTTTGAAATGAGATTTTTACATTCCTATGACACATAGGAAACCTTATTATCCTCAATGTTTAAGGTTTGACTTAATTACACTTAGTATACCAAATTACCAATTTTATACCATAATTAATTAAGGGTATAATTAATTCTACATTTTTTACTCCTTAATTAAAGGAATCTGCACGTTTCTCTCTCCTAACCCCTCAGTCCCACCCACGTTTTACCCATACCCACGTTCTTTTTACCATTTTCCATCTTCTGAAACCAAATTCTCCCTCTAAATTCACAGAAAATTGAAGAAATCCTTCAACAATGTTGGTTCCCCATTTTACTCCAGTTGAAGTTCATCAATGAAGAACAACAAAGTTCATCAAAATTGAAGTCAAATCTTCAAAGTTCATACACACATTTACCTTCAGCTTCAAATTTTCTCAACGAAGAAGAACAAACATTCAAAGAGATAAGAGAGCAGCAATTCCACCATTGACAGCCATTAAAAAGCTTTGAAGCTTTGAATTCAAATGGGTTTTCAAAAATCATTATTTGTTTTGATTGGGTGTTGTTGAAAATAATTGGGAATATGTTTTGGAGTTTATATCTCAATTTTGAGGGGTTTTGGTGAAGATTAGACTTGGTTTTGACTGAAATTCAGATTGAAACTCGAAGAAGAAGAAGAAGACGACATATTGCAGAAATTGTAGATAAATTGTAGAAAAATTGTAAATAAATTGTAGACTGTTTTTTGCAGAAGATTTTGTAGAAGTTTTAGTCGTTTTGGATTTGTGAAAACAGAAAACAATGCATCTACAATCAGAATACAAATAATCTACAATTTATCTACAAAATATCTACAAACTGGATACATTGAATTTTAATATCCCAATTCCCATTTCAATTGTAGCATAATTGGCATTTTCGACATAATTGCGTTTTTTTCAGAAGATTTGTAGAAGTTTTAGTCGTTTTTTGATTTGTGAAAACAGAAAACAAAGCACCTACAATTAGAATACAAATAATCTACAATTTATCTACAAAATATCTACAAACTGGGTACATTGAATTTTTATATCCCAATTCACTTACAATTGTAGCATAATTGTGATTTTTGACATAATTATGTTTTTTCAGAAGTTTTAGCCGTTTTTTATTTGTGAAAACAGAAAATAAAGCATCTACAATCAGAATACAAATAATCTACAATTTATCTACAATTTCTGCAATATGTCTTCTTCTTCTTCTTCTTCTTCTTCTTCTTCTTCTTCTTCTTCTTCTTCTTCTTCGAGTTTCACTCTGAATTTCAGTCAAAACCAATTCTAATCTTCACCAAAACCCCTCAAAATTGAGATATAAACTCCAAACCATATTCCCGATTATTTTCAACAACACCCAATCCAAACAAATAATGATTTTCGAAAACCCAAATTTAAATTCAAAGCTTTCAAGCTTTTTAATGGCTATCAAAATGGTGGAAAATATCTGGAAGAATATTTACTTCCATAATTGTAACGTGCCTAAATAGGAATATCTGGAAGAATATGATTTGATATGATTTATGCCAAATCTTTTTAGAATATTCTGTTCCTCAATTTTAGCTCGACAAATTAGGAAGATTCAGCTACTATTAATTAGTATTTAATGATTGGTATAATAACTGTAGAAAAAATGTGGACAGGGCGGGTAAATTAGAAACTATGAACATTTTTGGTAATAAGGTTTCATATATGGTATAAGAAAGAAAAATTGAAAAAGGGTTGATTTGGGCTAGCCTAAGTTAGCCCATAAAAAATTATCAGCTCAAATGGATCCGTGATGATGCTCAACCTTGACCCATGTAAATGCTCAATCTTAGAGTTCTACCTTGGCCCAAGTGCTAGAAAATATTTTCTAATTTTCCCATGTTTGGTTGGTTTAAATGTTTGAAAAATATTTTGTTTATGAATTCGTTTTTCTCCAATTGGAGGAAAATGTTTTCCCTATCAAGAGAAGGGAAAATATTTCAAAACTCTTTTTCAACCTTTCCCATCTCCACCTCCCCACCCCTCCCCCACCCAACCCATCTCC